TTATTTAGAATAATGCCTAACATATAATAAGCACTATACTACATATATTAGCTATTGTTATTATTTACAAATAAATATATTGATATACAATGGAATATCTTCATAAGTAAGAATGCATGCCTTTCTTCAAATGGACCAGATGATATTAATGATGACATGTACTTATTGAGCTGTTAATATATTCTAGGTACCATGCTAAGTTTAGGATACAAATTCAATTCAGGGAGCTTATAATAAAATTCAGACAAGAAAAAACTAGGCAAAATATATTAGGATAAATGACATTTTTGTATAATGTGCTATGGAAAAATGCAAGTGAATGGAAAATTAATTTGCTCCTGATTGGACCCAGAAAAGCTTCAACGAGGAGGTGACATTTGAGCCAGATTACCTTGAAGGAATTCAACAAAATGAATATGAAGGTCGTTCTGGGACTAGGGAGCAGCGTGGCAAAGGTATGAAGGTATAACAGGAGAGCAGAAAGTTGAAGGTTCATGGGACAGACATGGAAGAGTGTCTGCAGATGGGCAGGAAAAGGTGGACTCGGTGCTTATGAAGGGCCTTGTAGTCAAGGCAGGACCATTAAAGATTCTCTAACCTTGGGAGAGAATAACATAACTTCATAATATCGGCATTTTGGATCATTCCTGTGGCACCATGGGGAATGGCTGTGAAGAAGGAATGAACAAATGTAGAAAAACCCACCACGGGATTATTGCAGTGATCCTTCCTCAGGAGAGACTGTGATAGATAAGACAGGATGGTGGCGACAGGGACGCAGAGAAGTGGACAGATTTAAGAAGCATTTGCCAAGCTCTAATATAAATTTCATCTATCTAAATTAGTATAATTGTATAGTCTTAAGCATAATGAAGATAATTCTTACGTCTCTCTGAATTGGAAGAAACATTACCATCTACATTGAATTAACAATTTGGGGACAGTTTCCTTTTATTTTGTTCTTGCTACAATTCTTAAGTAATTTAATTAAATTTAATATATTTTTGAATATTATGATTTGATCTTGGAAGCATGAAGGCAAAGAATGAGCTTATTCTTAAATCTGAATCTAATATCCTTCAAGAGAGTAAAAGTTTCCCTCATAATCACCTTCAGTATCAAAGAACAAAATTAAACCCTAGGTGAACTATTAGTAAATATCAGTATTTAAAAATACCTACGGCAGAAAAGTAAGCATATTTAAGAAGTTAGTACATGCAGTGATTTGAGTAACGGTAGAGAACTTAAATATCTTTTTGGTAAAATTGATTTGAAAATGAGGAAACTCAAGTTGAGTGGCATGCAAAGGTTATAAAACAAGAAAGCTGTCGGAGCCTGGTCTAAGGCGACTTCTGACTACAGTTCACTTTCCATAGTAACATGCATCTTACTGTCTTCTAGGAAGAATAGTTTGTTGTTTATACATGATTCTCTAAAGCAGGGTCTCTCAACCGCAGCCCAACTGACATTTTGGACAGATTAATTCTTTTTTTGTGGGTGTGTTCCTGTGCATTGTAAAATGTTTAGCAGCATTTCTGGCCTCTGTCCATTAGATGCCAGTAATACCTCCTCCTACCCCAGTTGTAACAACCAAAAATGTCCAAGACATTGCTAAATATCCCGAGGGGCAAAATGGCCCCCAGTTAAGAGCGATTGCTCCATTTATCCCTAAAGTGTTATGAACTTTAGCCAAAAGAGAAAGAATCTAAGAAACTTCCCACAAAAATTCTAAGTTGTACTCTCCACAATTTCCAAATCCTTCTCTCAAAAAGTTCAACACCTGGGTGCCTGCTCTCTTAACTCTCCAATTGCTGTGACAGTTTTTTTCCCTGTTTGCTCTCAGTATGGTCCTTGCAATTCCCAGATCTGCTTTGTACCAGAGGAAACTATATTTCCCAAGCTCCCTTGTCTTCTGGCTTCAAAGTGGGTTCAGCCAGTGAAAGTTCTGACAAATGATTGGAGTGGGCAGGAGGGAAGAAGCCAGGGCATTTCCCTCTTTTTCCTCTGATAATAGCTGCTGGGTCACCTCCATGGCTCCTATTTCTTCGGGACAACCCTTCCTCTGTGGTTTGTGCCATGATTCCATCTTCTACAGGTGGCCCTGAACCTGGGACTCTGGTAACATTATCTCTGTTCCTTCAGTCCTAAGGGTGGTAGCAACATCCCACAATTACTAATCTCTGGTTTACCTTGCCATCTGATTTGACATCTTGCTTATTCTGTCGCCTGTGTACGTAGTTGTTATAGACTGAATTGTTCCCCGCTAAAATTCATATGCTGAAGCCCTGACCCCTCATTGTGGCTGTATTTGGAGTAAGGAAGTAATTAATGTTAAATAAGATCATAAGGATGGAGCCCTGAGCTGATAGGTTTATTGTCCTTATAAGAGGACGCATCAGAATTCTCTCTCTCTCTCTTTCGGTCACTCTCTGTCTTTGCCATGTGAAGTCATAGCAAGGAGTTTGTGTGTAAGCCAGGAAGAGAGCTCTCACCAGGAACTGAATCTGCCAGCACCTTGATCTTGGACTTCTCAGCCTCCAAAATTCTGAGAAAAGAAATTTCTGCTGCTTAAGTCACTCACTTAGCTGTATATTTTTATGGCAGCCAGAGCTGACTAATATAGCAGTTTCCAGCATCATAGTCCCATTGTTTGGAATAGCTAAAGGATTTCTGTTTTCCTGCTAATGCTGACTAACACAAGTTCTTTATATCATTGATACCGTATAGTATCTATTGAGCCTGTATCATGTGCCTAACATTATGCAAAAGACACTTTAATATTCATTTCCTTATCCATTTCTGCCAGTAACAGTGTAAGATATGACAAAATATGACATAAGGAACACAGATTTTGAGTCATTTAGACTGAATCACAACTCCTCCACTTACCAGTTGCATGACCTGAGAAATGTTAAACTCTCTAGCCCCTGGTTTTCTTATTTGTAAATTGGTCTAGTAATAGTACTAAACTAGGAGGGTCGTTCTGAATTAAATGAGTTACTTTATATAAGTGCTTACAATATTTGTTGGCTTATAGTAAGTTCTCGATAAATCTAACTATTATGTTTAGCTACAATTTATTGAGTGCCAATAGTGTGCCAAGCACTGCAATAGGTACTGGAGACAAAAAGACAAATAAAACACCATCAATGCCTTCAAAGAGTTTCAGTATACTGACAGAGGAAAACACATGAACAGGTAATTATAACAAAATACAGCATGTTTATTAATAGATTTATTATGGGAAAGCCAACACGATCAACAGTCAGAGTTTGGGAGGCATCTATCAAGGTTTGAATCCCAGTTCTGCCAATTACTGTTTGACTCTGGGCAACTTACCTAAGCTGTCTAAACCTTAAAAATTTTCTCGCCCACAAAATGGGAATAACGATAGTACCTACCTCATTAGGATGTAATGAGAACAAAGGAGATAGTAAAAGTATAGTTTCTGGTATAGTTCCTGGAAGATGACATGTGCTCTAAGAAGAATAGCTATTTTTATCATTCGTAGGGGAGCACAGAATAAGGGTGCCTAACCCAGCTTAGGGCTCCCCCAGGCTTCCTGCTCTTTGGAAGTCACTCTGATCTACTTGACAATAACTGCCTTCCTTAATTGTTCTCTTCCTCAAAAGAGGAGATTGATTGTATCATACATTTCTAGTATGAGTATAAATTAGCACAACCACTTTAGAAAATTTCTTAACAGGATCTATTAAAGCTAAACATGTTTATAACAAAGCAGTTTTGCTCCTGTGTATACACCCAGAAATGAGTACATTTATGTACCAAAGGACATGTAAAATAATATTTATAGCAGCTTTATTTATTTATAATTGTGCCAAATTGAAAGCAAACCAAATGCTCATCAACGGAAGAATGGATATATATGTCGTGATATATTCATATACAATGGAATATTACATAACAATTGGAACGAACTACAGCTACATGCAACAATATAGATGAATCTCACAGGTAAGATGTTGAGCAAAAAAGCCAGAGTGTATACTTTGTTATTCCACTTAGAGAAAGTTCAAAAGCAGGCATAGATGTCAAAGAGTGATTACCTTTAGAGAAGTATTTATGGAGAGGGGCAGTGTATTGGTAAATGTTTACCACTCAGATTTCTTTTTTTAAAAAAAAGAAAGAAAGAAAAGAAAAGAAAAAGAGAAAAATCCTGAACTTACAGCATTTGCAAATTTATAGGGTGTAAATACTCCCACCACCATGGTAGATTTCAAGCTACTAAAGTGATGTTACTGAACACAGAGTTGGGAAGAGATATATATGGCAAGTCAGATCCAATACACTACTGGAATGCTTGTATGCTAGAAATGTTCTGCATCTTGATCTGAGTAGTGCTTACACAGGTGTATACAGATTCACAGAGCTATGCACTTAAGATTTATTCACTTTATTGTATGCCTATTACACTTCTATAATAAGCAAAATTTAAAAATGTTTCTGAGAACTAGAAAGAAAAAGGAGTTATAACTGTTGTGTCCCAGAGGACAAGCCAGAGAGATACAGAGGTTTAATGGCTGGGAGGAGGGCACTTAGATCATCTTGTTTCCACAATAGATAGGAACTAAAAGGGAGACACCATTAGTAGTTATTGATATAAATAGAACAGAGATGGTAACTCTTTTAGATTGATCACTCTCAAATATTTCGACTTCGGACTTAATTAAATTTTATCACCAATGGTTAACATACCGCACAAAAGATAGTGTCATTTCTGAAAAATCGCAGATTCACTGTTTTAACTATCTATGGCCCTGACACTTGGTAATGAAGATTATGCCACTGGTTGGCTCCAGAACATTCTAAGCACAGTACCAACTGAATATAATGAGCAGACACAGAAAAGCACCAATTTAAATAATATTAATTTTTTTATTTTGAGTAAAAATACACTTTCATATCATTTTCCTTATATCCCTCAAATCTTAAATATGTTCAATATGTCTAGAAGATGTCTGTGGTCTAGGTAAACGAGACATTTTAATAGGACAGCTGCTCGTGACATTTATAGCACTTACATATTTAACATGACAAAGCCAAAGCAAAATTTTAAAGGGGTTTGACTGATGATAGCTTGACAAATCCACAGATTCATTTGTTCCCGATCTGGCAATATAGGACCATAGAAAACACCAAACCAAGTGTCTAGAGAATAAAACAACAGGATTAACAGGGAATTTAAGGGGAAACACTGGACACATTATAAATAAACAGAAAGAACATCATATATGAAAAAATTCTGTCTACTGACAGTTCTAATTTTCTTTATCTAAGTCATCTCCCTTGGGAAATTAGAGGTTTCAATGGGGCAAAAGAGCTCTGAGAAAGGTCTCCGAGTTTCTCTGTGTTTTAATCAGGGTTTTTCAGCTGGCCAATCAGTCTCTAACCAGGCCTATGTAACTAAGCCTTAACGTCTGCCACCAGAAGACCCTTTGCCTTTCTCAGACACTACATCCTTCTGTAGGGCATCTCCCCTCTAGCTCTGGGGAGCTCAGGCCTCTCGGGGCTAAATATATCTATTGCTTCCATAAAAAGTTTATGATCATCTGGTTTAAATCATCTGCATAAAAATCAAGGAGTCTAGAATTTCTCTTGCCATAGTTTTAGGCATTGCCAAGAGGAACGAAAAAATGAAGAAAATTTTTTTCAAAAAAAGCTTCTAAACTATGGGGAATAGCTTAGTTCAGGAAATTCCTTTGAAGTGAAAAAAGCACAGCTGAAAATCTGGGGCATAATTTCCATCTCATTAAGTAGTTCTCCCAAGCATGAGGGACCCAAAACTTGCTCTAATTGCCTCTGTAGTTGGTGACTTGCCTGCTGCGTCTTTGATGTAGAAATGACAGACAGGACCTGTGTGCATTACCAACCAGAAGTTTCCTCCCCACCAGCCCCCTTTGAAGGCAGGAGGGAGAGGGCAAAGCACCATATATGCTTCATCATCTCAAAAGCTCCTACTGTGTTGAGACTTTCTGCTTACTAATACTTTCCCAGAGATATAATTCAAATGAGAACTGCTGCCCAATATTTCTTCCTTCTTAAAAAAATTGACACCAATTCCCTGAAAAAGTAATGATTTTCATTCAAAATGTTCTCAAATTCAGGACTGAAATTTAGTCTTTTTGCCTCAACCCCAAGACTGGGGTCTTAAATATCAGGAAAGAATAAAGAAAATGAGCAAAATAATGAGATAAGGCAACTATCGTCTTTCACTGCCACATCCTTAACATAGAAGCCCATCATTCAGCAGCAGACTGGATAGTTAATATCATATTTTGTTGCATTCTGCATTTGTTGTCTCTGAAAAAAACATCTATTATTGTTCAGAAAAATAGCAAATAATTAAAAGAGATTTGTCATTTTATAATGTATACTAAGAGTCATGATAAACTTGCTAAGAAGTATGCATGGGTGCCCATATTCTGAAGAAGTCTGGAAAATGTAAAATTATCATTTTTCTTTTAACTGCTTTATTCCTAAGACCTCCTGTCAGGATAACTTTTATACTACAAAGTGATGACGATCAGTGTGCAGCACTTTTTTAAAAAATTAAAGTGAGGAAAATACTGATCGGTTTTTGCACATATAAGTTGCTACAGTCAAATAAGGAGAGAGATGATAATTAGGGTTCTTTAAGTCAGAATAATGAGAATTCCAAAAATGTCTATAGATAAATTTTTCTTACAGAATAAAGCATTTTGCATAGAGTCCTAGCATCCAATGTGAAAAGAATCCTTCAGGTATATAGTCTTAACAGAGCCTTGAAACTAAATATTGGCCTGTCTTATCAAAGTCTATGCCTAAACAGACTAACATCAAAGATCTAAATGTGGGAAAGGTTTTCTTTTTTTTTTTTTCCATATGATATTTTTCTGTGGAGATAGTCTGAATATATTTTCTGCAGGAAGTCATTTGATTCAGTTTCTTTAAAAATATTTATTAGAGGAGTTTTTCGACCTATATACCTTTGTGCTTTCTTGAATTTGAACTAGGGAAACAGAGAAGGGGGTGGGTCTAAGTGTTAGGCAACTTGTGCTAATGACTATAACAGACTAACATACATTTTTTGGATACATTTTTATAGAATGGCTGTCAGAAGACTATTTTCAAAGCTCCTTTTTGAATAAAGAAAGAAGCAATATAAAATGATTTTCTTTCTCTTCAAACCCTAGAGGGAGGGAAGATTTTAGATTGAGGAACAGAATAAAAAAAAAAATTTCAAACAGTTCTTTGAACCAACTATTTACCACTATCTACAGATAGTCCAAAAATCTTAATTTAACTAGTATTTATGATAATACCACATAAATTCCATATCTATAAATTACTATACAGAAGGGTTTTATTAAGGTATTTCCCTGTATATATCTTTAGTAGAACCAATAAAATATCTAAATATGTAACAAATACATGGAGTATAGCGATTTCACAAAATACTGAAATGCACTATTCCTGTTGTACTCTTATTTTCCACTAGATGTATTTAGATTTTTGGCAATGCGTTTGGCTGTGACATGAGAGACATCAATCTCCCCAACTGATTATGTCCTTATTTTTTTCTGGCTTTGCTCTTGAGAAGCTTCTTAAAAGCAACCGTGAGTTGTAGCTAGTCAGAGTCAATTGTCTGAATGTGGGTTTAGCATGAAATTTAACACTTACATTGAATGCCTCATTTAAAGCCTGTTCTATCATTCATTTAAAGTCAACTCTACCAGGATATATGAGTGTATGTGTTTTATGTTTATACATGTATGAGTATACATGCATGGGATTCCTTACCTCTGTGACCATTAGCTTTTATTTCTACATTAGCATAAACTCAAAATACGAAGCAGAGAAACACAAGACATTTTATAAAAGGCAGAATCAAGAGAAATAGATCTAATGCATAACGCCATTTGACTTTGATCATGTATCAGACATAAAGAAAGACAGCTATAACCTACTGACAAAGAATGCTTCATATTTAGACCTATTCATTTGGGCTATAAAGAAGTAATACTCAACAACCCAATTTGCTGCTAATAGTCTTTAACCTTTCCCAAATGCTTGGCTGGAAAATTCTACCAATAACCTAAATGACCACTTAGAACACTAAATTGCTTCAATCCCAGCTAAATTCCTTTCTGGCAGTGATGTGGCATAAGTGACAGGTACAAAGCTACCAGAAAGCCCAAGGAGGACACTGCACTTCCATTACGTGAGAGCGAAGCAGCTACCACTGAGCTTAGCTAACCAGCACTCAGAGGCATTAACCAAGGAGACACCTCACATCATTAGGGTTCTTGCTAATTCCCTGAAATAGGATTGTGAGTGAATTTGACTCACTTGATACCTAAATTACCCACGATCTGGGATGATTCCAAAAATGCTTCTCTGACACGGTTTTAATTTGTCTTCTTGGCAAAGATTTTTACGTAACGTGAAAAGTATCCTTCAGGTTCTAATAAAACCACGCTGAGAAAGTCCATCAAGATAAAAATCCTATGCAGGATATTTTTTCAACATCAATAATTAAATCGATGAGAATAATTCATGAGTCTCAAGCAGAGCTTCCTTGAAAACTCCCAGGGAATCCATAGTACTTAAGTTGAGAAAATCAGAGGCAACTGTCTCTAGTTTTTAGAACTTGTTAGATTTCCCTAGAGTGAAATATTAGAAAAATAGCTCCCCATACTCTTAAGTTCAGTTTTTACTTTCTGTTTCAAAATCAGGATGAGAAATAAGAAATTGTAAGGGTTGTGTTTTGCTTTTGTTTGGTCCTTTTCCTCTCACTTTAGAAAACTTTAACCTTTGTGCTGGTTTTCAATGGAAAAAGGATATCTGGGACTAAGAACTGGGTGGAAATTAATTCTATTATTTTTCCCAGTAGAGAGGTCATACAGAAATAATAGCCTCAGCCATGCTCAGTTCATGAGACTGTGACCCCCTCCCCAGATGCTGGTTGATTGAGGGAAATGCTTGGTCTTGGGCACTTGGTAGCTAGGGCTTTTTCTAAAGAACCTGGTTTTTATTTGGCTCACCATAAATATTTGTTAAAAGAATTAATGAACAAGCAAGGGAATGAATGAAGAGTCAATAATACAAAACCATACTGTACCTCAACAACTGCCAGTCCAAATGCTATTCCAATAATTACGATAATATGTTTTGCCACTAAGTCTTTTAAGAAAGAAATACATGGCTGTTAAAAAAAAACATAAAAAGTTACTTTTAATAAAATTTTGACCTTATATTAATTACAAATTATTCATTTGGTTGACTTTTTACATTGCTACCAAGGAACACACTCAACAAAAAAGAATTGGATCATTCCCTTCACTCCCCACTTCACCCTGCTCCAGTTTATAACTGCTGTGGTGTGTTCCCACATTAAAAAGCATTTGAGGAGCAAAATTTTGCTTAACTGCCTAATTGCCGAATCAAGTGATAATGATAAATAATCATTTTTCACCAACATATTCCCAAATTATACATTTTATAGTTTATAAAATCACAAACTTTATAGTTTATAAAGCTATAAATTGTGCAATTTATAAAATTGTAAGTAATAATTTTATCCTAATTTTAAATTATTCATTTTAGAGCTGATATCACCTTGACTATGGATTTTTTACATTTATAATCTAGAGCAGAGAGGTCCCTGGTTGAGGTTTTAGCTAATTATATTGAAAATTTTCATTTTTAAAAGAATGTATTTTCGAAATCCCTTAACTCTAAATTAAAATTTAAGTAAAAAGTGTTATTTTTACCTTAAAAAGAAAAAATCACTATGTCTACCATTAATGCTATTACTTTAGATAAAAAAGAGAATTTAGAAAGTTGCCTCTCTGCTGCATTTTTTGAAACTTATGCAAACCAGCATGCAATTTCTATCTTCGAACATTTCAGATCAGACCTAAAAATTCCAAAAATTGTAAATTATAACAATTTTTAAAATGGAAAAATACTACACAAGGTAACAGTGTTATTTCTGTATTGCCATAAATCATCCCTCTGATGGGTATAAATGTACAGAGGACTAACAAAATATTGCTATTTGTTAAATAAAATAGAAGTTTTCTATAAGGCTAAGTAGTCTTTTCCCCTTCATTCCTGAATGTAATGAGCTTCTCCATTCACATTTGATCCAAAGTGGTAAACATTCAGGGAAATTATTATGTCACTTAGGGTTAACTATGAGATTAATGATTATATCTACTGAGTCACTTTCATTATATTTGAGGGGTTTTCTGTCCCTCTTTCCCTAAGATAATGAGGTTATCTTGGCAAAAGTAAGGAAAAAAAAAACATGAATTACGGTCATTCTGGATTTGTTCTTTTTCCAGACTTCTTGCAAATGACACATGGCAGATGGAAGTATTTTATGAATTTATGACCTTCCTTTTGGGACTCTGGTACAGCTATCAGCCTATATTCAGCTGAATTACATGTGAACTTGCAGGGAATATCTATTTTTTTTTTAAGGATAATGCAAGGGGCTTTTCAGAATCTATCTTGAGAGAAAAAACATCTTTAAGTTGAATCTTAGCAGGAGAGAGATAGCAATCTGCAATTGCATTTACTAATTTCCTCATTATCCTAAGTGGAAGCTATATTCATTTATACCATATTTATTTCCCTTCTTCCTTGTAAATATTATGTCACTAAAATTAAATAGGGAATAGGGGAACAGGGAGAAATAGAATAAAACTCTTTTAGTGATATTACATTGAAAATGAGAGACATAAAAAACACTGTAGTCTGTTAGATAATTTCTTGAGTTACTTTAAATATTAGTGACATGAGTGACTTTAAGTATTAATGACAGCAATCTCCCTTCAGAACAGAGCCTCTTTAATGTTGATAGTATCAGCAGAAAAGATCAGTAGTCGGGAGGAGAGCACTTTCCCCTGAGATACTTTTATATATTTCCTTTTATATGTTGACCTCAGTAGCAGTTACTAAACCAAAACAATGCTAGATTGAAAATAATCTTCAGGTATTATAGAAATGAATTCATTGTGATTTGTAATGGCTGTTATGTATTTCTCTCCCAACTAGATTATAATCTCCTACAGGATCCAGAAGCATGTCTGATTTTAGCAAGGGTTTGTCTGACACATAGTATGCACTGAAGAGTAATAGCAAATAAACGAAGCACTAAAATCAATTGTTGTTTTTATACACATTCCTTCATGGCAGAAGGAACAGCCTATGTAAGGCCCTGTGATAAGGGACAGATGTCATGTCCTCCATGATGCCATATCCTGAACCCCAAAACGGAGTTAGATGAGTTCCCATAACACTTTGTGCCTACCCCTATTCAAGAAATAGCCCAGTAGCCCATTGGATTAAGGCTAATTATCTTTCTCTCTTCCTTATTTGACCATCAGCTGCAAGAGTGGAGGCCTTGCACCCTGCTCAGGAATGGATCTCCACTGGCTAGCAGAAGGCCCGGCACATAAGAGGTGGTCGATAAATATGTGATTAATTAATTGATCAATAACAAGAAATATGACATTCACAAGCCATATAAATATGACATCTATAACACATAAAAGATTAACTCATCCTTTTCAGTTGACTTTAAATACTTGAGGCAACTTCTCAATTGGACCAATAATGAGGAAAATGGGCAGGTGTACTTAACACCTAGAACCTAACCCCTAAATGTATTGGAAAGGATTTGGAGTCATTTTTTTACATCTTGAGAAAAAAGGAACCTCATTTCTTGAGAAATGGTAATACTGATTAGGAAAAAAAGAAAACCTTGACTTTAAAAATTAAAGTGAAATATTGATTTCTAGAACTTATATTAAAATAGAAAAAAATAGAGGAGAATTATGATTAAGGTCACCAATGAGAGGACAAAATAAACTTTTGTGTTAGTTTGTACTTTGCCTTTGCCTCTCCTTGCAGTAAACTGTTTCTTTGACTCATCTATTAAAGTGGGGTTTAAATGATGCCGGACTCATAGAAGACATAAAATACTTCCATTTTTTTAATATGTGCTTTTGTCTTTAAATAAGAATTTCTTTTTTATTTAGGAAATTCCTTAGATTTTTTTTTTTTTTTTTTTTTTGAGACAGGGTCTCACTGTGTTGCCCGGGCTACAGTGCTGTGGCATCATCCTAGCTCACAGCAACCTCAAACTCCTGGGCTCAAGCGATCCTCCTGCCTCAGCCTCCCAAGTAGCTGGGACTACAGGCATGCGCCACCATGCCCGGCTAATTTTTTCTATATATTTTTAGTTGTCCGATTAATTTCTTTTTATTTTTAGTAGAGACGGGGTCTCGCTCTTGCTCAGGCTGGTCTCGAACTCCTGAGCTCAAACAATCCACCCGCTTCAGCCTCCCAGAGAGCTAGGATTACAGGCATGAGCCACCGCGCCCGGCCGGAAATTCCTTAGATTTTTATATCATGATTCCCACTATACTTGCTGCATTTTAATTTTTTTAGAGACTTTTATTGTGAAAATAAAATAACAGAATCATTTATTGTGCCAAATTTGATTTAATTCTTACCTGTTTGTAAACATATTTTCCCTTATAAGTTGTACAAGCATCATCTGGCACTTCTGGACATTCACATGACTTGGAAAACTGTTGAAAATTACCTCCCCAGTCGGCAGCTCCACTGACCAAACCACAGCATTTAAACTGAAAAACGGTAGAATAAAAAAACAGTCACTAAGAAGATTAAGTACTTCCTCAATACATTGAATTACATTCTTCTGAAATCATTATTAAAATATATCTTATGCTAAAATATTGTAAAAGTCACCTTACCCCCCACTCTGAGTATAGAAGCAAAAATGAAGAAACTTTTAATTTTGGTCTTAATAGTAATGATAGAAAAATGAGATTGCAGATGTAAAGCTCTGAGGAACTGAAGCTCTGAGGAAAGAAGATGAAAAACTCACCTTTTAGTTTTCAATGACAAAAGAAAGCGGCAGAGTCAGATCTATGTATCCTAGATTTTAGCAAAGAAGTTTCCAAAGAGTTTACAAGAGAGTCAAGGTCTCATTAAAGAACTGTTGCTCAAAAGAGATGAGAAGTTTTAAAAATGAAATTTCCATCCCTTGATCTCTGATCACTTTTGAAGGAGAGGAGGAAAAGAATGAGAGGTATTGCAAAGACCAAAAAGAGGTTCAAGGGGCCTCCTATGAGACTGAAGTTTATGGACATCTTTAAAATATGAGAGGGAGTACAAATGAAGGATAAAACTGTTAAAATAATGTCAAGAAGGTTAAGGCCCAGAGTAAACTGAAATATGGAGAAACATCAAAGAGAGGGGAAAGAGGATTTGTGGCCATGTTTTAGGAAGAAAAACAAGGAAGTGATAAGCCCAATGACTCAGGGGATATGACACATAACATTATTAGGTGAGAGAGAGAAAAGTAATTATCCTTCATCTTGCTCCTGCCTGCTCTATCAGTGAGAAGGCTCTTCAGGCAGAAATGGTAGGAAAAAAATTGCTGAAGAAAACAGAACTAAGACTGGGTGGTTTTCCAGGCTCCAGTGTATTGCAATGCCAGGACATTGAAAGAACTTTCATTCACTGGCTGGGTGATCATGTCATCCATGTTACTTAAACCTCTCTGCACCACACACAGTTCCTTATGTGTAAAATACAGATGATAATAGTTGCTAATAATAGCACCCAATTCACAGATTTGTTGTAAAGATAAAAATGCCATTTGAAGACATAAAGTACTTAGTCAAGCCCCAGGCTTATAGAAAGCACTCAATAATACATTAACTGCAATTGTTGTTGTTTTTGTTGTTTGTTGTTGTTGCTTCTCTTACCTTCTCCCATGAACATTATCTGTTCAACATTGTTATTTGGCTAAATAGAAAGTATTTTCTCATTTCTGTAGTTGATGTAGTGCTGGGAGTGATGATTAATTTGCTGGAGAACAGAATCGAGTTTCAAAGATAGTTCCAATAATGGATTTAAACTAACTAGTTCAACTGAGGCAGATAGAAAGTCTCGCACTTTGGCTCAAAGACTGAATTATATAAATATTTGGCTCAACAGATATTCATGACAAAGAGCTATAAATTTCAGTTGGTTCCAAGGTCAATATTAGCAAAGAGGACAATTTTGAAACAGACTCCTTTCCTGTTCCCATGGTAGACATGATTAATTGCTCACTGTTTCTGATTACAGAATCTTGAATAATATTAATCCATATAAACTCTCCACATCAGGTAGAATATAATCCCACTCTACACACACAGATTAGTCTATATTTGGAACACAAGATACCTTGGATTCCTTAGGGAGACAAAGAGATATACTTACAGAAAACAAGGTAGTTGGGAAGAAGGCTAAACTTGTCATGGTATCTGGTCACTAGATCAGAGGTGGGAGCAGTTAGGGAAAAAGTCAGTCAGGACTTGTTGAATGTGATATAACAGCTGGATGAAAAAGACACTGTGCAGTGAATGATACAACACCTCTAGACAAATAGTTATCACCAAGAATCCAAGAGGGGGATATTCCACCAGTGCCTTAACCAGGAATTTGTGTGGGAATTCCCTGAAATCCAAAGAGAAAGCCACTCAGCATCTACAAATTCTGTCCATGTGTAGTGGGGCCCCAGGTTAACCAGCCAGAGTTTGTGGTAGGACTCTTTTCCCAAAGAAGCATAATGTTACAAAGAAAACAATGGTGGATAAGGAAAAGAAGAAGGAGGAGGGGGAAAAAAAAGAATGGACAATAAAAAAGAAATACAGTCTTATGAACACAAGGAGCTTCAGGCACGGGGTTTCTATACAAGAATGGGAGCACCTCAGGAGAACATGCTACAGCTAATAGAACACTTAGAAACCCACGCTTGGCACCAAGACCTAGAATCCCATGAAGGGTGTGCAGCAAGTGTGACCCAATCCACAGGCCCAGTGGTTACCTCTAGTACATTTTGTTCTAGGTCAACACACTCGGGACGGTCAAGGATGCTCAGCCCCACCCAGGGGAGGAAACTGAGGCCTCCTAAATTCTTCCTACTTTAAGCCTGTATTCATCTGGGCTCCAGAGAGGGAATGATCCAGGAAAGGAGATGATCAAAGGATGCAGCTATGGGAAGCGAGCAAAAGCACAACACAGAGGAAGTTAAACAGGGACTGACCCATATCAGGTTTCGGCTCTTGGAAACGATGCTTTAAGCAAAATTTTTACAAGCTGGAGTCTATCCAAATAGGAACTGGTGAATGCTCTTGAAAAAAATGTCATCTGATAAATAGCTCAAGAAACCAAGGATGTTTCAACTTGAAAAGCAAAGCTTTGAGAAGTCAAACAATAGCCATTTCAAAGAAGAGAAGCATCAACAGATTTTCTTTTTCCTCTGAGATTCTACAAAAACTAAGACTAAATGATGTAAATTCTAGGGAGGCAGATTTTGTTTCAAATTAAGAAAGAACACACTAGTCAGACTTGTACATAGGCAGGATGGGTAAAAATTGGTAAACTTTTGGATCTTCTATATTTAATTTGAGGGTGGGTGGCCATAAAAATAAAATACTTTAATCAATGAGAAGTCAGATTAAATGACCTCTAAAATCCAGCCATCCCCTATGATTCTGAGAATTTCCATGCCATGCATGAAGTGAATGCTACATGTAATCAATATGATAGGAATTGTGAATAAAGAAGGTGCGGTTAGGAGGAGTTTCACGGAGTAGCTAGTATTTTAGTTATGCTTTAAAGTATATGAATTTGGAAAGAAAGAGAAAAGCAGTAAGAACATTCCAAGGATGGGGAATGATGCAAAGGCTGGAAGGCGGAATCGTTCAAGGGACCCTGAGTAGACGAGTCTGACTGGACGAGAGTATTTTCTTTATGAAGCAGTGTTTAGTAAAGTTAAAAGATTAAGTAGGAACTGACAGTAGAGTATCTTCAATGCCTATCCATGTTGTGACATTGCCCTGAAGGAAAAAAAAAAAAACACAAAGGAGGAAGATAGTGAATTGATTAAAAACTCATAAACTTGCCAGACAGATCTGGGTTCAAATTCCAACCCCATCATTTGATAGCTGTCAGACCTCTCTAAATCCCAATCTTTTCATCTGTAGAATAGGGTCAATGAGAATAGTGATATTACCCATCTCATAAGGTTGTTTTGAGTATTAAATGAGCTACTGAATTTAAAACCTGGTACATAGTAGTAAGTAACAATAAATATTAGTTATAATTATCTTTATGACAGAGAGGCAGTGGAGGCAGAGAGAGAGAGAAAAAGAGAGAGAGAGATTCCCCAAACATGCTAACCTTTTAAATGGTAAATATAAAAACAATTATTGATTTGACCCAGTTGAGGCTTAATCTGTCATAAACATATCTTGTTAATCTCTGTCCTTCTAAACTGCTTAAGAACTTTGTATGAAGCTAGAAAATAATTACAAATATTCTTGGATTTTTCTTATTGTATGTTGGCAGAATAAATAATCAATCAATATCTGCAAAACGAAGACTGTTCCTATCTTTAAGGAATACACCAGTTAAAAATTAAGCAAACACAGAAAAACTATGTCCAATTCCCTAAATGATCTACAAATTCTAATTACCTCTTCTTGAAATTCAGCCAGAGCTTGCTGGAATGCTTTTGCATTATCATCTGTTGAACTCAAATACTTTACATTTTCATAGAGAGTTTCATTCAGAATGTGTTCATACTGAAAATTGAAAAGTATAGTTATATTATTCATGCCAGAAAGGTATTATTTCAACTTTTCAGACTTCTCCAAAATTATCAAACATCATCTGTATACACACCTGAGATTTGAAAGTGGCTCCCAGGATACCTGCCACCACCTGCAGGAGCAGGATCAGAAGCAAGCCTATGAAAAACTGAAGAAGAGGAAAAGAAATGTATATTATCGGCAGTGCATTCAGTAACATCTGGGGACATTTCGGCACAGCACTCCTCTCCACACCCGGGATCATATCACAATTGGAGTGGTAGTCATGCTCTTCATTTATTCCACCTTTTGCTGCAATCTGCAAATTTTGAGTCCACTACCACTCAAATATTTGCTTTAAAGACTGATCAAGGAAAGTGGTTCAAATGAAAATGTATGGATAGGATTATTGGTATCTGTGTAATATTGAATGGAGGGAAGTTTGAAAACTTAGATGAATTTATTTGAATTTATCTTTCTCCTTCCCTTTCTTTATCAAACACAGACCCACACAAACTCAGAACTGGCTTCAAAACAGCATTTCCACCACCGTCAGAATCACCTGGCATCTTGTTATATATGGAGATTCCTAAAATCTGCCTCAGAATTATAATTTTGGAGGATGCAGCCCACAGATCAATTTTTTTTTAACACGTTCCTCAAATAATTAAATTCCCCAATTGCAAATGAGGCCTTATTAATCAAAAAGGAACCACTAAGGACACTGTTAGAGTTCCATTAAAACTGTCTCTACCTTCCTTCATAATAAACAAACAGTTAAAACAATTGTTTTCAGGGACCGACACAATACTTATTTTATTAGAGAAATAAGTTTGTATTAGTTCTGATAAACTCTTATGTCATTTATATCTGATAAATACTTGATCTTTTTCTAATATTTTTACTATACCCATTTATGATTTTCTATTATATATGTTAAAAGTGAATGCCTAATGCCTGTGGGTTGTCCCAACTCAGTCCATTCTCCTTGTGACAAATCTGGTTCCAAGTGACAAATCTGATTATGTCACTCCCTTACAATTTTCTGAGCATGGCATATAGAACACTTTACAATGGGACTACAGTCCACACTCAGACTCATCTCCTACCATTTACTGAAAATAGCTTCTGCCAGTCTCCAGCTATAGCCAAGGACTCTCAGTTCACCAAACATGCCAGCTCTGTGGTGCCAGCTCTCTTCCTGGAGAGTTCTTCATACCCTCACCCACGCAAACAACTTATTCACTTCTGCCCTTGACTTGAATGTTCCCTGCTTCATCCTTGCCCTTTTCTTTTGAGGCCACTCCCACTGTAGCTATTTGTTTACTTATTAATCTTCCCTAATGGGTTCTAATTGTTTTAAGGGCACCCGTATCATTTAGCCCAGTATCTGGCACACAGAGGTACACAGTAATGTTGAATAAATGAATGAACAAATAGATAAATGATTAAAATTTGTCTCCTTTCAGAGTATCCTCCAATCCAAGCCAAACTAAGCCAACTCTAAGCCATATTAGCTTCCATAATCAAACCGTCTCAACAGAAGCTAGAGTTTCATCCATCTTGACATGTTTTTTTGACAGACAACAGGGAGGGGACATATCCTCAGGAATCCGAAGGTTGGACACTGGGATTTGTCTGGAGAACTCACCAACAGAAGCATGCAGCGGCTTTCTTTGATGGCACCGCAGCATCCAAGGAAGCCCAGAATCATGATGATGGCACCCACAGCGATCAAGATGTTCACAGCAACATCGGGGTTAATGCTGGTGTCCCCAGAATTGAGAATCTGGAAATAAAAAAGACACGAATGGCAGAAAATCCCTTTCCTTGAATTTTGTTTTGCTCATTCAACAAATATGCACAGAGTACCTACTATATACCAGGCCCTGTTCTAGGACCCTGAAATACTTCAGTGAGCCTAACAAGAAAATCTCCCTGCCCTCATGGAGCTTATATGTTGTTTGCTTGAATAATGTTTCCAACCTTGTATTTTTCTACAATGTTATGTTGGAAGTTGGATAGAGTAAATGTAATAGATTTTTTAAACATTATTTTAAAAGCTTAGAAGGACAGATACTTTAACTCTTCTTGATGTGATCTTTGATTCACATATTTTGTGTTTTGTACATAAAGCAGCATTATAAAACATGTGTTTTTATGGTAATATAATTCTGTAAATTAAAAAGCCCAAGTTCCTCAAACTACTGATAGATACAACCATATGAATGAATCTCAGAATCATTGTGTCGAGCTAAAGAAGCCATATAAAAAAGAGCAAATACTGTATGATTCCATTTATATAAAGTTCAAGAATAGGAAAAACTATGGTGATAAAAATCAAAGCAGTGCTTGACTTTGAGCAAGGTAGGAGGGAAAGCATGAATTGACTGAAAAGGAACATAGGGAAACTTTTATGGGTTAATAAAAATGTTTTGTATCTTGATGAAAAAAAAAAAATCCAGTTCCTAACAATCTGTATTAATTCTATCTCCTCATTCACAGAAGGTATAGTTCATTAGACTCTTCCAGAAACTCTTTATTTTGTCTGCTAAGTAACAGGATAATGAGGAAAAAATTCCCAGGGCCCTTTTTGGTGGGTGGGCTGACCATTCAACATAATTCAGTTCTTTTTCTGAAACATACACATGCTCCTCTTCATCACCCTCATAACATCAAGCTCAATCTACCACTTGTCCTCCATATATATCAAAAAGTAAATCACAATAAAAATTGTGATACCTTGTGCCTGTGTTATACATGAGTGCTACATGGAGCCCATCTATCTCATATAACCTCTATCTACTGGGCTATCTTTAGTTTAAGCATTAGCTCCTAGATTGACTCAAAGACTGCCTTCTGGAATCTTCTATACAGCATGTAGGTCAGCTCCCTTAACAGTCAATACAAAAAAGATTGCTACTACTAATAATGATATTTTTGTTTTTAAAGACTTTCTAAATCTACTCACAGCCGGCTGGGGTCCCCAACCCCTGGGCTGTAGACCGGCACTGGTTCTTGGCCCTCCAGAAACCGGGCCGCACAGCAGGAGGCAAGTGGCAGGTGAGGGAAGTCCCACTTGCATTCACAGCCGCTCCCCAGCACTCACGTCGCTGGCTGCCCAAGCCCCTCCCCACGGCAGATCAGCTGGGGCAACTGACCCTCATAGGAGCACGAACTCCACTGCAAACTGCACGTGCGAGGGATCCAGGTTGCATGCTCCCCGTGAGAATCCAACGTTCCTCCCCCGGCTCCCTCCCCCATCTGTGGAAGAATTGTCTTCCAGTTCAAGCAGTCCCCGGTGTCGAAAAGTTTGGGGACTGCCTGTCTAGAGAAAACCTTTATTCAACAATCAGTAGGAAGGAATGTTCCATAGTCATAAAAACATGAAAATGAGGATCTATATTCCAGTCAGGGTCCTAATAAATAAGTTTTTAATCCTGGGACAGTTACCCAAACCTCTGGGCCCCAGTTTTCCATTTATAAAAGAGAACTGGGTCAGCTATCCCGGTGCTATCTAAGGCCTCCTTTGTGTCTAAAAGTGTATGCTTACAGATAATGTTTCAATTTATATATTTTGAAAGCTTGGTTATGTCCTAAGGATTTTTGTTTGTTTTGGAGTCTGTTTGTTTCCTTGTTAAGATTGGAGCTAGGAAATGTTTTATTAATAAACAAGTATGACATTTGGGTCAAAATAGATGTGACAAAAAAAGCAGCATTAGGAAACCAGTTCTGTGCACTCACCACTGAACACTGCTTCACTAGAATAGTGCCGCCAGCACAGGCAAACCCTAAGGCAATGGCAGGGGTTGAAGCCTCCCTAGCTGGGTTACCAGAACTTAGCCCAGATGTAGAAATAATAGATCAAATATCTACACTTGAGGCTGGATAGTGTGGGCCAGCAGGTAGTGAGGCACTTCTATGAGGCTAAGCCGAGCAGGGTGACCCACTGCCAGGGACTGGCCAGAAAGCAACATGTTGATTGCCTGACCATCACAGTTCCAAGTCCAGCCCAACAAGTGGCTATTCTTATTCAAGAATGAAGTGGAAATCTGAGTTCAGATGTGTGCTCCAAGAGAGACACAGCAGGGTTTGAAAAGCTGTCTTGAATGAACACTGTGTCTATATGTATCTTAGGACAAGGAGAGAACTTCTCCCCCTTTGTATTAGAAGGGATCTCCTGGGATAAGGACAGCTGCCCATATGCTTTACCTCACAGTGCTGAGTTTATTCTGAGCTAGAAAAAAGGTGTCCCTATGAGACACTTTACCAGGAAGGTATGTCATCTCCCAGACAGCCTTCTTTTCTGTGTTTATGCTCATGTTTTCTCTTCTAAAACTGCCAGCTTTGTTTTTTCACTAATAAAATTCAGCTCTTTGCTCCGTCTTGTTTCTTTGTCACTGACTTCAGATAAATACAAATCAAGCCAATTTTATACAAGGCAAGCTGGCTAATGTTGTCTTGGCAGATACAGGTTTTCGTTCAGGGTGAGAGGCTAACAGAGTGCAAGAGCCAAAATGTAACTGAAGATGCTGTCTAGCTCTATCAAATTCACTCCCATCCCCAGATGTGGAAGACACCCTCTCAAGGACAACAGTTCTCCTTTAATACATTCAATGTGTGCAATTTCTTAACAGACTAAACACCAAATTTGTTTACCAGAAGCACTGGGAGGGAAAGAAAACATCAACAGGAAATAAAATAATAAAATAAAAGGCAATGCAGGCCTCACACACATCTTAAAAAGGCCAAAGCACACTGTAAGGAGGTGGTTGTTAATCTCTGGGCTTAATTAGAGTCCCAAAGTCGGACATCAGATTCTACGCAACAGAAATTTTACACACCTTAGAATCCTTCTTGGGCTCAAACACCAGAGCCCCAGGCCATCAGGAAGTCACAGTTACATTTTATCAGTATAAAACAATAAATGAAATCCTGATGCACTCAAATTTTACCAACAAGTTGCCACACCTGTCTCCCACCCAGTTTCTAAGGCTCACAATGAGGAAACAGCTAATTGCTACCATGATTCTCTGAATTCTATAGGGGTAGAAAGCAATTTTTAAGAGAAGAAAGAAAGACACAGAGAGAGACAGAAAGAGAAAAAGAAATTTCCAGAAAAGCCATCCACTTTAGGAAAGAAAACAGATGTTAATTCACTTTTAATCTTTCTTTCCACTAGGCTATGTCTAGAGGCATTTAGTTGCACCATGGTGTAATAAGTTGTGATAGAAAATGCATTGTCTTAATTCTTGGCTTAATAATTTCTTAATAATTATCAAGTAGGAATCAAAATTCCTCTAAGGAAGGGAAACCCTCTTTATGTGGGCAAATACCTTGAAAAGGCTCTAGCAGGAGAAGATGTGACCTTGAATAGTGACAAAAGTCAAGACAACAAAGAACAAGTAACCTGCTCTGCATGAAGTCAGAATAATAATTTTGGGAGGGTGGGGTGCCCCTGAAAAGAAGAGAGGAGAGAGAAGAGTGGAAGCAGGGGAGCCAAGAAATGGTGCCAGGTGGCATATGTTAGATAGAACTGACAGAATAACCCTTCCACACACTCTTCCCTTCCGCCTCCCCACCCCCACTCTTTCCACACTGTGATACTGTGGTATGGATACTTTGGCCCTGTGGAGTCCAAAGGTTGGAGCCAGAATTAACCATATGAAATAAAGTTCCTTCATAACTGTAGATCTTGGTAAGAGCTTTGACCCTGGACACAGAATAGTGTGTGGTGGATGGAAATGGGTCATGTCAACCTTATAGAGATAGGAAGAATAGAGAGAAGGCATCCCCAGCTAACTATGAGTGACACCAACATGATTAGCCTCTTGTTGCAAGAGCTTACCTTCAATGCCAGTTGCAACAGGTAAATACAAACTGGTAAATAGAAATAGATAAATACAGCCTTTTACTTCGTTGCCTTTAAAACACAGATTCGAATTCTTCAAGAGAACGTCTCACCTTCTTTCCTTTTGGATCAACCACCTTGGAATCTGCTAAATTATTGTCAATAATTTCTACTACAAAGACTGTTTTTCTTGGTGGGGAGGAGAGGTGGCCTATATCCTCAAGCTGTACTTCAGGCTGGCCTTAAACAAATCATAAAGGAAGTAAATTTCCACTTTGGCCCCTTCCCACCTCCACTTTCATTGAAATCTTTCTATGTTTTGGAATACACTTCCTTCATTCTCTAGAAAGATTGTCCCATGCCTGGCACAGTACCAGCCAATAGTAAGTAATTTTGATTTATTGAATTGAATTATGAAATCACATGTCACCACAAATGATTACATGAGGCAGTTAAGAAAAATGCTTTAGAAATTTTATGATTATTATTGTCATTATTTTCATTATTATAGGAAAAATGAACTACTTGGGGAGCAGGGCAGCTTGTATTTATGTATTTACCTCTTGGCTATCGTTGCTCACTCGTACCCATATTGCTAGTGCCAAGATCAAGATGCCACATAGCTGCAGAGAAAAAAACAAAAAATGTTAGAGTACAATTAAGATTAAATGAAACTATAATTGCACACACCCCTATCCATCTGGATATAACAGTTATCATTGACTAACCATTAGAACCTGAGAGACATAAATGAGGCATATTCATGCACAGATAATCACTGAAATGTTCCATGGTAATTCATAAGTTTGATGAGAGTAATTCTATTTCTCATCCACAGTCCATTCCTAGATGTATGGACAAGAAGTCATCCCCATTAGGCCAGAAAGATTATTTTCCATGTTGTAACTTCAACCCTATGTTTTTTGCTAGGTTGTACCATACAAAAGATAAGTCACAACAGTTTAAAGATAAAATACCCTTATCACGCCCCAGGTTTGTCTCTGAGAAGCTATGTTGGACCAAGAAAGAAGGGAATAACTAACTATTAATAATCACCAAACATTCATTCAAGATTCAAGAGGGAGGGAGACATTGGGATAGACAGGGAACAGTAGGACATTTGACGAAGTTTGCAGTTAAGCAATAACCACAAATATTAATTGACACTTTTTGAACCCAAATAAACTCTTTTCTAAACAAGCTCTTTTAGGTGGTGAAGTTTACCCACAGAGAAGGAACAATGAAGAACAGTACTTAAAGTCTTAAATTCCTTTAATGACTTTAGCAGATTATTTAATTTGGACCAATGCCAATACATAAAATGTAAAACACATTTTACTTTAGTGTAAGGAAAACTCTTGTCTTTCAGGGTTTAAAAAAAAAGATATATATTGTGGCCTCAAAAAAAAAAAAATCAGAGATCTATTACTAGATAGAGATATTAAGAGCAGGACTGGTTACATACCAGACACAGCAGGCCTTGGAGGACTTTCTACACAATTCTGACCTTTCCGTGCTCTGACAAAGAAATGTCTGAGTCCTCCAAACCCCAGTGTCCTCGGAGCGCCATTGCTTCCACTGGTTGAGCCATAGGCCTAGAACCCCCAAACGGAACTTATAATGGCTTCTCATTAATTTTGCAGAGGCAATAGAGCCAAGGGCTTTGTAAAGAAATAGGAAGTGCAATGAGTAACTGAATAACCAAATAATTTGTGCTCCCTAAAAGACCTTGAAATCGACTAGGTCCAAACCCTTTATTTTGGATAAAGAAATTAGAATACTGAGAGGAAACAGTCACATCATGGACATCTAGGGCAACTCCTAACCGATCTGCCCCTACTGCATATTTCAATTACTACAAAATAACTAATACAATGAAACTCCAAAGCTCTTTATCAAACCACCAAATAGCCTGTTTTAATTATCTTATATGCACACACATACATACCATAAAATACAAATCATAAAAAACACAGCTTTAGAGCTTAAAAACTCTCCTAACTTCTTCAGCCCTGTGTTTTTATAGCATCCTTCCACTAAATCCTATTTTTATTTGAAAATGAAGATAAATGGTCATTTTAGCAGTTGTTTCTTTCTTGTTCTTTGAGTTTGTGAGTGAGAATTTATATCAAATGATAATGAGACCCTGTGGAATTTTCAGTAATTTCATACCAGTTGGATTTTTTGTTTGTTATTTGATTTGTTCACTGATTGTTTCTTTTTCTTCTCCTTTCACAAATTGATTTGTAATGATTGTCTTAATAGCCACTTTGGCCTTTAGCTTTAACTAAAAATAATATTAATGGTTCTAGTAACTATTATGATTATCACTCTTTCCTGATATTTATTAAACTATAAATGAGAAATCTTTAAGAACTCTCAGCAAGAACTTGGTAAGAACTTATAATAAGAGTACGATATTTTTTAAAACTTTAACTTTTTTGTTTGTGTGTTACTGTTTACTTTTTCAATGTACTTAGACATCAAATCATTCATAAATGTTATGAAATCATGAAATCAACTAAATCTACCCCTCAAATACAACTTTTAATCTTCTCGGCCACTGAAAGTTTTCTGTAACATTAACATTTAAAATAAAGAGTACCCAATTATTTCAGAAGTCAAGAATATTTTGTCCAACTTTAATCTTCACAATTAGATAAAATTATTTTAGGAGATTTAAAGTTGATTAAACTATCATTTCTATTCCCATTTCTATCTTTTTTTCAAATTTCATTTTTTTTTTTTTTTTGAGACAGAGTCTCACTCTGTTGCCCTGGCTAGAGTGAGTACCATGGCGTTAGCCTAGCTCACAGCAACCTCAAACTCCTGGGCTCAAGCGATCCTACTGCCTCAGCCTCCCGAGTAGCTGGGACTACAGGCATGTGCCACCATGCCTGGCTAATTTTTTATATATATTTTTAGTTGTCCAGATAATTTCTTTCTATTTTTTTAGTAGAGACGGGGTCTCGCTCTTGCTCAGACTGGTTCAAACTTTATTTTAAAGATGAAACAAATATTTAGAATATATCACTCTCATCTGATTGGAGAAATTCCCATGCAAAAATCAGAGTCAAAGCTCGGACTTGGGGGAGAGGGGGGGCAAGGGCATCATACGTAACCTAATCATCTGTACCCCCATAATATGCTGAAATTAAAAAAAATGATCAGAGTCATAATATCATGAAATTATTCATAAATCTGTTGAATGACTTTAAAAGTAAACTTCTTTTCTATCAAGAATGATCATCCTAGAGTCATGGTTAATGCTAAACTACTTCATCCCAATTGTTGGAAGACTGACCTTTGTAATGGTTCTTTGAGACCTTCCCCCACTTGGGCTTTAAGGGTTTGTCCCCCAATCTTTTATACTCTTTTAAACAATTAAGGGCATAAATTAAGAAGTGTTTAGCTCTGTCCTACTTTCCGTTGGTAAGGTTGTGAAAGGAAATGGGTTAGTATGTTGGCCCCCAGGTCTGCCATCAGTGGATACTGCAGAACTGATTAGGCTTACCTTTCCCCCACTCTGCTTTCTCTTTGAAGAGAATTATTGTAGTTTTCACTCAGCTCTCTCAGGACATCTTTCTTTTTATAAAATTTAGATGCAGTTGGTCTGGACCACCATTCTAAGAAATTAGGCAATGTCGATATTTGCTTATGGATATGTGATGAATTGAATTGTGTCCCTACCAAATTCATATATTGAAGCCCTAACCTCCAATGTGATGGTATTTGGGGATAAGGCTTTTAGGAGACAAGTAAGGTTAAATGAGCTCAAAAAAATGGGGTCCTAATCTGACAGAATTGGTGACCTTGTGCGAAAGATGTTTTTGTCCATTCACATTCCCAAGGAAAGGCAATGTGACAGCATGGCAAGAAGGTGGCCAGGAAGAGGGTCTTTACCAGAAACCCAAGTGGTTTACATCTTGATCTTAGACCTCCTAGCTTCCAGAACTGTAAGAAAATAAATTTCCATTGTTTAATCCACCTAAGTTGATGGCATTTTGCTATGGTAGCCTGAGCAGACTAAGACTAGGCAGAAGCTGAAAACTATGAAATGCCAGGAAGAAAATGGGAAAACACCATCCAGGACAAAGATAAATGGTAGCATGTTGATTTGTCCTCTTCTCTGATAATGTGTCCTCCAATCATCCCTGCTTCCTCCCTCTCAATTCTGTCCTGATTTGGGTATTTATTGAAGTGTGTTTGGAGAGTGCTGAAAATGCTATGCTAGGAGGAGAAGTTGATTGGGAGCTAAACCATTATTGGTCCAAAATGGACACCTTTTAGGTAAGCTTAAGTGAACTCTTCCTATACTGCTCCTGAGACTATAGAAAGTCTAATTCAATTGTACTGAAGTAAGAGAATGCAGATTGTACAATTATTGCTTGTGAGAATTTTTTTGCATTTCCTTCATTAATTTCTAAAGATCCAGAGATACTGGAAAAGACAATAAAGTCTAAAGAGAGTACAAAGTTTATTAGAAATCTATTGAATATGCTTTATTAATTATATCATTTTATCTTCTGTATCTCTGTTTTTCTTTTCCTTGTTGAGTTATCAAAAACTGAGAGATTTGTTAAATTGAATTAATGGTGATTATATTTACTAATATGTACTTCTAACAATGTTAGAAGTACATATAATCCAATAGATACCATTTAGGGTATTCAGTCTTGGGTTTTAGCTCAAAGTAAATCATTATTTTCTATATTTTTCTTCTCTTTCAAAAATATTTTCTAGATTTATATCCACTTTGTAATAAAAAATACAACCATTTAGACAGGTGAATTCTTTATTTCCAGATCTTTGTTATCATAATTTTCCCATGCTTAAACTATCCACTTTTATTTCATACCTTAATCATTCGGAATATGTTTAAGTAAATTTTACAATATAAGTATCTGAAGACATCTTTCTCTCTTATTCACTGTGAAAGCCTCTGAATACTCAGCAAACACTGTTCCGTTATCTTCTGACATTTAGTGTTACAAGAGGAGAAGTCTATGATCAGCCTTATTTTTGTTCATGCATTGTTTGCTTGGTTTTTGATATTGTTGTTTATATCTAGACATTTGTAAAAATTTTTATGTGTCTTTTAACTAATTTAGTAGTTTTCATAATATTTATCTAGGCATGGATGTCTTCTTTCACTAAGGTAGAACAGGCATTTTCCATCTGTATACAGGTATATTTTCAGCTCTACAAAATTTCCATCATTAATTTGATTATTGTTTTTGTTCCCTTTATTTTGTCCTGTCCTTTAGGAATACAGCTTGTTTTGGGTTTTTGTTCTCTGTTGTCTGTATCTATCATCTTCTTTTGCGTCATTTTTATTTTTTTTTTAATTTTCGTCTGGGGAGAGCTTCTCAATTTGGGATTCTATATCACTGTCTCCATTTAATGTGATATCTACAGTGAATTTTAATTATGCTACTATGTTTATTATTTACTTGAAGTCTTTATTTATTTTATCCATTTCCCTTTACATTTTATCCTATAGTTTTCCAATTAACTTATTTTCTCTTATGGTCTCCAGCCATGTTTCATGGCAAGTTATTTTCTAGCATCATATTGTGAATACCAATTTCCAGATATATTTTTCAGGATTCTGCAGTGTTTC